GGCCGGCGGGGCGCGGCCGTCCCTAGCGTGGCCGGGGGACGCGGGACGCGGGACGCGGGGCACGGGGCACGGGCAGGGCCGGCACCCGCGGGCCCGCCCGCCCGCGCCTCGTGTCGCGGCGGCCCTGCGAGCGCGGCCTTGGCGCTCTCTTCCAAAGGGTTCGCCAATTCCAGGCCCAAAGCGACCTTCTCCCGAGACAGAGGCTTTCCACGCGCGAGTGGCGTGGCGAGGCGAAGGGAGGTGCGGGATCAGAGCGCCCGCCCAACGAAAGGACGAGTCAAAGGGGCCCTGTGGTGTGCGGCCAGGGAAGGGGCCGCCGAGCGGAGGCGGATTCGCAGCACGGGCACCGCAACCAGCCGTGGCTGAGGGGGAAGCTGCAGGAAAAGCCTCCACAAACACCCCTCTTCAGCCTTCCCGGCGGCTCGGGAAAAAGTAAAAAGCACAAGCAGTCCTGGAAATGTGTAAAATTGACAATAAGCTATAATGGTATCTTTGGAGATGGAAACTCTGCGGTCTAACTGATTTATTTAGATAAATGCTAAAGTGTATGTTATTTATTCAGAAGGCAGTGAATAATTTCTGCTATTAAGATATTTAAAGAACTTCTAACGTATACATTATTTGTTAACATGCCTAAATGCTCATCACGCGAATACGTAGTCTTTAAAAAGCGTATTGTTTTCTCAATAAACTGGATATACTGGATATTTTGGGAATGATGTGTGCAGTATATTAAGTAAATAGATATTTGGATAATTTTCAAGTCTGTGTTTAAAACAAATAGTAACAATCTTTAGAAAAGTAGTTATTCTGCATCTCTGGTGCATATTGCTTTCAGTTTAATCCCCTGGGCTTCTCTGTTTCCTCCAAAATAACTAGTGTAACTTTGGCACTGCTTTGCCTGTTCGAAGACACGCAGCCAGTTTCTTACTTCTCAATAAATCTGTTAAGAAAGGAGACCAGTAGGAGAAATTTCTGCCAATTCGGAACCTTTTCTTTTTTTGCTTCCTCGTCACTTCCCATGCAATGTTTCCCAAATAATATTTTGTTTTCCTTCCTCCTCTCTCTATATGTCCTTATCTTTGTGCCATCACGTTTCTTCTGCAGTTTTTTGCTATTTGAGCACAACCTGCCTCCACGCCAACATTTAATAATTGTATCTCCGGTTTACAAATAAGCATCAGCATTAGAGGAAACTTAAACCATGTTAGCTGAATGTGGTTAAAGATGATTGATTTCAGCTGGATGGCACAGGAGAGATGCACATCTATGCTTTGTCTTTCTTATTTGTTAATCATGATTTTCCTTTCCTGTATAGGCAGCTTTCCTTTATTACATCCCCTTGATATTTATTCTTTCTTTTAGATGGAGATGCTTGACCAAGTCTGCAGCATATTTTTAAGTTACGTAATCCACACCTTTCTGTGATATAGAAAATGTCACTTTATGTTTAGACACAAATTCATGAGTTTCATTTCCTCTGAGGTTATTTAAATAGCTTTATTTTGAATCAGATTATTGCATTCAAAGTTACTACAAAAACTTTAATTATTGGAAACTTGATGCGGTGTCTTAGACTGAGTGCAGTAAAACCCAGAAGCTGCTCTTCAAGCCTGCACACTAAACTTGCACATTGAGTTTCTGTGATTGTATCCGAAATTCAAGTAATTGCAGGAAAAAAATGGCTAGGTATTATAACCCGGGCCAGCCACCTGCATATATAAGAATAAGCAATTTGTAGGAACAGCTGCTGAAGTTGAGCAAGCAAATCATGTCTAAAAGGCATGTTTGAACCCACATCATCTGAAAGTCATCTTTGATAAAACTCTGTCCCTCCTAACCTGATACGTGGCTTTACAACCTCTCTGAGCTATTGTTCGCCCTGTGCACAGACTAGTCCACCAAGATGGGTTTATTGCCAGAGTATATCAGGTCAGAGACGGCTTCTGTTGTCAGATGAGCCACTAACTACCTCAATTGCCTTTGGCAAATCATTTAACCTTTCTGTATTAATGCTTTCCTGCCTGCAGAATAATACTTCATCAGGGTAGGGAGGAGTTTAGCTTATTAATTAATAAAAATAACTATCAAGTGCTTTTATCCCAGTGTCCATTTGCTAAGCAGAATTAGAGTGAGGAATACAAAAACACAATACATTACATCATTAGGTAGAAAATAGTTCATTTTCCACATAAGTTTCTACATAAATAGGTGTTTTCTTCTGAGCAGCTTTCTACCCTATGTACGTTAATGACTGCACAAATTAGGCAGAAGAACAAGGCTCACAGTTTTCTTGTAACTCGTGAATAACAACAAGAGAAGCAGCAGGCTTTGTCTTGAGCTGACAACTTGCATGTTTTAGAATACTTCCATAAGTTTTAATGAGCTAAATTATTTAAAAATATATATTGTGAAAATTGTTCTTGATCTGAAACCTTACATGCCATGTTTCAGCCTAAAACAAATTTTACTGCCTAGATGTAAAGCCTGGAAAACAGAATTTATAATGGCAATACTGACAGAACATTAGCTACACTGTAGTGTGCTAACGGGTACCACTATAATACAGTCTATTCCGGAATAATTTTTCTTTTTATTATTTCATTAAGTTGTATCTCGCTAAAGTTCCTCCTAGGATCTCTCTGCAGCACCAAATTTTTCATTGAGAAAACTATAAATCATAGGCCTAAATTACAATTTAATTATAAACGCCTTCTCTTCTAATGCTGCCTGGGACCTTTTACCCTCCTACATAATTCTAAAAAATGACCCCTGTCATAATTTCCTTCACTAGAATAATATGCAGAGATCTAATCCTGAATCCTGCTGTCTTATAATTTAATATAAGAGGTAATTATTATTCAAAAGATAATGTTGCAGATATTGAAAATATTCCGAAGTTTAAGTCTAAAAAAACCTTGACTTGGTACGTAAGGGCCTCTTATTTGACTCTTGCAGAAATGGAAATAAATAAAAAGGTGTTAAGATTTTATGCAAAGTACTAGGAATATTATTTGAACCTGGAATTTGTCTACTATAATTTCTATAACCTTTGAACTACAGAGAAAACACACACACACACAGTGAAACTAGGAAGACACCAGATAATTTATTATTGATTTCTTCTTTTTGCCATGGGATGGATACAAAGTTTTAGATTGCTACTACCTAGCGGAAAAATAGCTTTCAGATGGCTTCATATTTCTGAATGCAGGGAACGAGACATAAGCCTTGCCTGCTCCAGCCCAAAAACACTTCAAAAACCTTCCTCAAGCTTCACTTAAATTAATCATATCAAAGACAATGTCTGTGTTATGTTGATCCAAAATATTCCTGCAAAGGAGGAATTAAATAATTTTAAAACTTTAAGGAATTAGTAGATTTACTTTTCCTAAGTCAGAAAAGCAAGGAATAACACCATTATGTCAATTCATCTTGCAGAAGAGCCAGTGAATTTAATCTCGTAGCAAGAACACAGCTATTATAGCCTGTCTCTGTTCACTTTACAAAGAAAGACTTTGACCTTAAAACCCTTTTTTCTAAAAGCAGGATTTCATCAATTAAAATCTGTTTTCTCTTCGGTTAACTCTTGTGGTGTGCAAGAATACCTGCCGGGGCAGGGAGCTGATGGGATAGGTGGAGCACAGGCAGGGATGGGCACGGGGAGAGCGGGAACGAGCCGATTCCTCGGCTCAAAATGAAATGAAATGAAAATGAAATTCTGTGAGCAGCCTCCGCTCAGGGCCGGATTCCGGGAGCACGCCCCATTTTTCCAAGTAAATGAGCTAGCAGCTTCCTTGCTCCTCACCACGCACAGCTCCATCAGAAGGAACAAATAAAACAGCCCGACTGACAGATTCACCACACTGGAGAGGTAGAGGCCAGGGAGGTTATCGGGAAATGGGGTTCACAAGAGGTAATTATAGCCCGTGCTCACCCTTCCTAGGTGAGGCAGAACATCACTATACAGCTCAATAAAAATCAAACTATATAGCGCAGCGGCACCAGTTTACTACCCTTTTTGTTTTTGCTTTGGGAGCAGTTCATTTAAGATGTAATAAATTGAAGTTTTTTCTCCTGTCCTCCCATAAATCCAGGGATGGTGCAAATGAGGTGTTCCTCATTAGGAACCAAAGGAAAGGGGCTCCCTCGGCAGTGCCACGCGCCAGCAGCGTTACAGCACTCATTAGCAGGAGCCCTCTTCCCTTTCTAATAAGGAACACGGCTGCATCCTGCTCGGAGCAGGGCTCACCTCGTGCTGCTGAAGGGAGCTTCCGGGGTGCACTCAAGAGGAAGAAGGGAGAAAGTCCGTAGCACAAACACCATAAAACAGAGAGATGGAATTTTGCCTGTAACAAATTCATAATAAGCAGCAAAGTGTCATTGACTGCCTGTGTCTAACTGAATTGCTTCATGCGATAGGAAGATTTAAGGATCTCAGAGGATTCATGAAAGACATTAGACTGCACTTTCAAATGAACAAACAAAACCACATTAGATGGACACAGTTGGCTGGAAAACACTGCCAGGAGGTGTTTTTCTAACTTGAGGATCCAATAAAACACAGCGCTTAAATGTATTTGAAGGGGTCCATCTATTACCAAATCAGGGTGGGTTCTTGCGAGGGACAATGCAGAGCACCAAGCAGGACACAGTGCAGCAGCTCAAAGAATAATTTTAGGTTTCCATTTCCCACAAAAATCTTTCCGGCACAGCAGTGCAAAGGCTTGGGCATGTAGAGAATGTGATGGCCTTGATGAAGCCTCTAAGAACCTTAGTCGGCAGCAGCCTCAGCCGTCTTGCAAACTCAGGACAAATCAGTCCATGGATCCAAAGGAGATTAGGAAGCAG